AGCTCATAGCAACTTCAAACTCTTGGGTTCAAGTGTTTCTCTTGCCTCAGCCTCCTGAATAGCTGGGACTACAGGCACCTGTCACAATGCCCGGGTAGTTTTTAGAGATGAAGTCTCACTCTTGCTCGGGCTAGTCTTGAACCTGTGAACTCAGGCAATTCATCCACCTCAGGCTCCCAGAGTGCTAGGATTACAGGCCTGAACTACCACAACTGGCCCCAGTTTAATAATTTTTTGACTAATTACTTACTGTTATGGGTTAAATTGTATTCCCTCGAAATCCTGTGTTTTAGTGCTAACCCCTAATACCTCAGAAAGTAACCTTATTTGGGAATCAGATCACTACAAATGTAATTAGTTAAATGAGGCCTTATTGGAATAGGGTTCACTTCTAATCCAGTATGACTGGTGTCCTTATAAAAAGGAAGAAATTTGGACATGTGCAATGAAAGAACACCATGTGAAGATGAAAGCAGAGACTTATAAGCCAAGTAACGCCAAAGATTGCCAGTAAAATACCAGATGGTAGGAGAAAGGCATGGACCTGATTCTCCCTCACAGCCCTCAGAAAGAACCAACCCTGATAATACCTTGATGTTAGGTTTCTAGCCTCCAGAAATGTGAGACAATAAATTTATGTTGTTTAAACCATCCGATTTTTAGTATTTTGTTATGGTAGTCCCAAGGTACTAATACACTTACTCAGTATTATGCACATCTATGTTCATCAGATTATAATTTGGTCCCCATCTTTTTAAAAACTCAATCTCCTCCCCAAGGAGTCTGCAATGATTCACTGCCCATGAGAGTTCTTGAAGCATCTAAAAAAAAAATATGGGAAAACAACTGATGAAATTAGGAAAACAGCTTATTTGATGGTAGTGGGTTATTAGAACTTATTAACATTAGTGTCACTAAAGTTGATATACAACCCCCGCACTGCTAAATTTGACTGGCTAGTAAAAATAAAAAAAAATTTTTAAAAAGTGATGGAGGGCAGTGCCTGTGGCTCAAAGGAGTAGGGCGCTAGCCCCATATACCAGAGTTGGTGGGTTTAAACCTGGCCCCAGCCATAAACTGCAAAAAAAAAAAAAAAAAAAAAGTGATGGAAACATTTCAATGTTTAGTGGCTTTTTTATATGGAACCTTAAGAAATTAAACAAATATATCTATCATTTCAGGATCCACCATTATATCCATAAAATTTCAGTTCTGCTTTTAGGGAAAATAACATAAATTTTCCTTTAAATACTTCAGTCAGACTTTACCTTGGGTACCTGATGTTGTGTTGTACATTTCTTCTTCCAGGATTCCTGTTCCTCAATGTATTGGAAAATAAGCTTATGGACTAAAAGGGAGGAAGGAGGAGCTTTATCCTCTGGGGAAGGGAAAAAAAAAATCAAAAGCAGGATATTACTTATCATTCATGTATTTCACATAAACAAAACCCATTATATTATATATGGTAGAAATACTTCCAAACTGTTAGATACTTAAGTATCCTCTCCACGAATTTCCTTTTCCTTTTCTTTTCTTATTTTGAGACAGAGTCTCACTTTTGCACAGGCTAGAGTACCATGGCATTAGCATAAATCACAGCAACCTCAAACTCTTGGGTTTAAGCTATGCTCTTGCCTTAGCCTCCCCAGTAGCTGGGAATATAGGCACCTGCTACAATGTCTGGCTAGTTTTTCTAGTTTTTAGTAGAAACAGTCTCATTCTTGCTCAGGCCAGTCTTGAAATCCTCAGTTCCACGTGATCCTCCCTCTCTGCTTCCTAGAACGCTAGGATTACAGGCATGAGCCACAGCACCTAGCCTCCAATTTTATTTTCAAACATATGTGGTAAACATAAGTCATTCCTACAAAAACTCAGGTCTTTATCCCATGCAGAACAGTACTCGGTTAATATAATATAAAACTGAGTTTCAATCTGGCTTTCTTTACTACCTAAGTGATACTAAGCACAACATTAATTTTTTTATCTTTATTTTTTTACATATACATGTGTTTATTAGGTTTCCACTTCACAAAATTAAAAAGGTTTAAAATTTAATAACAATAACAATGTTTAAGATAAGGACTAGAAACAAAAACCTCGTAAAGAACAAATGAAGATAAATACATTCAGAAAAGAAATCAGATGATTGCTGCATCAAAATATTAAGCAATAATAATAATAATGCAAAGAAAGTGATATTCACATTGTTAAATAAGAGTATGTCTATTATAGAATGCTTTGACTCTGAGGTTCAGTATGGAGTCATCAGTTAACTTTTTTTTTCCCAAAGTCTCAAAACAGATCATGCCAAATGATAATAATTATGATAATATCATAAATAATATTTATAATAATAAATGTAAATATTTATTATAATAATATTTAAATTAAATTTACAATATTATTATGATAATAAATTCATTATATTATTATTTTTTGAGACACAGTCTCACTCTGTTACCATGGGGTTGAGTGCCATGGTGTCATCATAACTCAAAGCAATCTCAAACTCTCGGGCTCAAGCAATCCTTATGTCTCAGGACTACAGGAGCCCACCACGATGCCTAGCTAATTTTTTCTATTTTTAGTAGAGATGGAGTCTTGTTCTTGCTCAGGCTGGTCTTGAGCTCCTAAGTTCAAGCAATCTGCCCAATTTGGCCTCCCAGAGTGCTAGGATTACAGGCATGAGCTACTGCGCTTGGCCCAATACTTAAGTTTTTTTTTTTTTTTTTTTGGAGACAGAGCCTCAAGCTGTTGCCCTGGGTAGAGTGCTGTGACATCACAGCTCACAACAACCTCTAACTCCTGGGCTCAAGTGAGTCTTCTGCCTCCGCCTTCCAAGTAGCTGGGACCACAGGCGCCCGCCACAACGCCTGGCTATTTTTTGGTTGCAGCCGTCATTGTTGTTTTGGCAGGCCCTGGCTGGATTCAAACCCCCACCTTAGGTGTATGTGGCTGGCGCCTTAGCCGCTTGAGCTACAGGCGCCAAGCCAATACTTAAGTTTTTTAACCTGTAGTTTCATCATTTGTAAATGGGGAATAAATAATACCTACTTTATAGTGTTAATGTAATACACATGCCTAATAAGTGTTCATGGTGGAAATTATGGAAATAGCAATTATTAATCATTGCTCCAGACCTAATAATAAAAATCATTTCTTTTAAAATCTACCCAACATTTAGAATATTACCCAAACAGTTTCTAAGGAAAAATTATTATATTATTTTTTTTATTTAATGTAGTATGTGAAAGAGCTCTCAAGGAGCAATTTTTACTATAAATCACCAACAACTTTTTTTTTTTTTGAGACAGGGTCTTATTATGTTGCTCTCGGTAGAGTGCTGTGGTGTCACAGCTCACAGCAACTTCAAACTCTTGGACTTAAGTGATTCTCTTGCCTTAGCCTCCCAAGTAGCTGGGACTATAGGTGCCCACAACAATGCCTGGCTATTTTTTTTTTCCTCACTATGTTGCCCTGGGTAATGTGCTGTAGTGTCACAGCAACCTCCAACTCTTGGGCTTCCATAATTATCTTGCCTCAGTCTCCCAAGTAGCTAGGACTACAGGGGCCCACCACAATGCCCAGCTATTTTTTGGTTGTAATTGTCATTGTTCCAGCAGGCCTGGGCTGGATTCGAACCCTCCAGTTCTACTGTATGTGGCTGGCATCCTAGCCGCTGAGCTACAGATGCTGAGCCCCAACTATTTTTTGGTAGCAGTTGTCATTGTTGTTTAGCAGGCCCTGGCCAGGCTTAAACCAGCCAGCCTCCGTGTATGTGGCTGGTGCCCTACTCACTGAGCTACAGGCACTGACACCAACAAATTTTTGCCAGTTTAAATGATTTGAACTTACCATCTAACAGAGATTGAAAATTCATGCCAACAATCTTCTTATCAGGCTTCTCCAGAAAACAGAAACCAACTAGGAGGAACCAGAAAAAGTACAGTATTTACTTTTACTATCTGATTTTAAACCACATAAAACTCAGTTTAGAATCCTGCTCCTTCTGGGTAGTAGAGTTTTTTTTTTTTAATAGGCAGTTGAAGATTTATCCTCAAATCATATTCTGTATATGGTAAAGAGTCCCCTGATACTGCTCAACTACATTTATTGGTAGGCCTTTGAAAGAAATTTAAAGTGGGGCAGTGCCTATGACTCAAAGGAGTAGGGTACCAGCCCCATATACCAGAGGTGGTGGGTTCAAACCCGGCCCCAGCCAAAAAAAATAAAAAAGAAATTTAAAGTGCAATACACAGTTACATTTGATAATTCCACCACCTATAGCCTCTAACTTCTGTACAATGATAATTTTATTTTCAGGAATCATATAAGGAAAATGGCTGTGACCTCCACATATCTACTATCCTTGTACAAATAGAATAAGAATGATTTATACTTTTAACATTGCTGTAATAAGTTTTAGGGTAGCTAGAACAGATGCTTACTCCTCTAGACTAGAGTTATATCCTGTCTCTCAAATTCTTTTCTCTTTTCTCTTTATTGAATACTTTGTTAGATATTTTGTATGTGTTAGGTACTGTTGATACCATAATGATAAAAATACACATGATCAACCTATGCCCTCAAGAAGCTTACAACTTAAGGGTATATACAGCTAACTGAACTAATAAATTGAGAACTATTAACTGTGATAAATACTATCAAGGAAAACTGCAGGAAGCAATGAAAACATATAACAAGAGGGCAAATGGTAGAGGAAGTAAGTAAAAGAGTCAGGGAAAATTTGCTTGAGAAAGTAATAACAGAGATTTTTAGTTTTTAGGTTTTTTATTTGAGACAGAGTCTCACTTTGTTGCCCTTGGTAGAGTGCTATGGCATCATAGCTTACAGCAACCTCAAACTCTTAGGCTTAAGCAATTTTCTTGCCTCAGCCTCCCAAGTAGCTGGGACTACAGGTGCCCACCACAACGCCTGGCTATTTTTTTCCTGTAGTTGTCATTGTTGTTTAACAGGCATAGGCAGGGTTCAAACCTGCCAGCCCTGGTGTATGTAGCTGGTTCCCTAACCACTAAGCTTTAGTTCTTAAGGATTATTGGTAGGAATTTGTCAGTGGAAAGCCAGGAAAGAGCTCCTAGGCATAAGAAATATCAACATGAAGGTCTTAAGGTAGGATGGAATATAATTGAGCATAAAAGGCGATTATCATTTAAGGAAATGATAGAACTCTGTTGTGGCCAACATGCAGAGAATAGGTAGGAAGTCATATAAGATGAAGCAGGAAAAGGAGAAAAATTCAATTCATAAAAGGCTTTATAGGCTATGTCAAATATTTTCATTATTAGTTTAGAGAAGTAGGTACATGATCGGGTTTTCAATAATCACTATTGCTACAGGTAGAATGAATTGGAGAGGAAATGAAAATCATAAACACCAGTTAGAATGCTATTGTAATCATTAAGGTTAGAGATGAATACAGATAGAAGAGATGGAGAAAAGTGGATGAATATTAAGAAATTAAAATGAGTACATCGCCTAGCACGGGGGCTCAGGTGTATAATCCCAACTACTCAAGAGACTAAGGTGGGAGGATTGCTTGAGACCAGAAGTTCAATACCAGTTTGGGCAACATAAGGAGATCTAGTCTCTAAAACAAATAAAAAAAATTAGCCAGGTCTAATGGCATGTGCCTGTAGTCCTGGCAACTCCAGAGGCGGAGGTGAGAAAGGATTGCTTCAGGCCAGGCATTTGAGGCTGCAGTGAGTTAGGATCATGCAGTGCACTGTGCTTTAGCATGGGCAACAGAGTGATAGCCTGTCTCTAAAAAAATTCAGTAGGTCTTACCAATGACTTGAATATGCACAGTAAGGGAGAAAGAGGTGTAGAGTGATTTCTAAGTTTTCACTCTGGATTAGGATGGAAGGTGGATGAGAAAAGGTAATTGAGAAGAGGCAATTTTTCTTTTTTTTGAGACAGGTCTCACTTTGTTACCCTGGTAGAGTACAGTGGTATTATAGCTCCCAGCAACCTCAAACTCTTGGGCTCTAGTGATTCTGTTGCTTCAGCCTCCCAAGTAGCTGGGATTACAGACGCCTGCCACAACACTCAACTATTTTTAGAGATGGGGTCTTGCTCTAGTTGAGGCTGGCCTTGAAGTCATGAGCTCAGGCAATTCACTCACCTGAGCTTCTCAGAGTGCTGGGATTATAGGCGTGAGCCACCACTCCCAGCAAGAAAAGGAACGTTTAAGAGGAATCAGGTTTAGAGGTTATGAGATTCTGAAGACACTAAGTTCCAATATGGCCATATTTGCCCCCTGGTTGGCCATCTTGAAGCAGACTGGTTAAAGAGAAAAGACCTAAAGATACTGACATTTAGGAGATTCCAACAGAATAGCTGGGACTCTGCCTATCATCATACAGGAATTTCTACCTACATTGATAAGCCCACCTATACACATAGAACTTCCAATTAACATTTTAGGGCCTCACTAAGTACAAAAACCTAGTGAAGAATGGCCAGCCATTGTAATAAATTCTCTAATCACAAAACAGATTTTAAAAAAGGAATTCTGAGGCTTAGTGCCTATAGCTCAGTGCTTAGGGCACTGGCCACATGTACTGGGACTGGTGGGTTAAAACCCAGCCCGGGCCTGCCAAACAATGACAACTACAACAACAACAACAAAAATAGCCGGGCATTGTTGTGGACGCCTGTAGTACCAGCTACTTGGGAGGCTGAGACAAGAGAATCGCTTAAGCCCAAGAGGTTGCTGTGAGCTATGATGCCACAGCACTCTACCAATGGTGACATAGTGAGACTCTGTCTCAAAAAAAAAAAAAGGAACTCTGAGTAAATAGACAAGAGTAGTATTTTGGGTAGGAAAATTTTTATTGTATAATATAACTCAACAAAAAGCAATGTTAACTAACTGCATTTCTTATTTTTTTTGAGACAGAGTCTCATTATGTTGCCCTCAGTAGAATGCTGTGGCGTCACAGCTCACAGCAACCTCAAACTCTTGCACTTAAGAGATTCTCTTGCATCAGCCTCCCAAGTAGCTGGGACTACAGGCGCCCGCCAAAATGCCTGGCTATTTTTTGTTGCAGTTGTCATTGTTGGTTAGCTGGCCTGGGCCAGGTTTGAACCCACCAACTTTGGTGTATGTGGCTGGCGCTGTAACCACAGTGCTATGGGTGCCGAGCCACTAACTGCATTTCTTATTCTTTACATAATAAAATAAAATTCTATTATCACTAAAGTAATTGACTCAATTTTTTTTTTTGGTAGAAACAGAGTCTCACTTTATCACCCTTGGTAGAGTGCCGTGGCATCACATAGCTTACAGCAACCTCCATCTCCTGGGCCCAGGAGATTCTCTTGCCCCAGCCTCCCAAGTAGCTGGGACCACATGCGCCCTCCACAACGCTTGGCTATTTTTTTGTTGTTGCAGTTTGGCCGGGGCCAGGCCTGAACCCACCACCCTTGGTATATGAGACTGGCACCCCACCAACTGAGCAACAGGCACTGCCCACTGACTCAAGATTTTAAACGGAGCTCTCATTGTATTAATAGTTAGTTATCATTTAGGCTGATGGCTGTGGCTCATGACTGTATTCCTAGCAATCTAGGGGATTGAGGCAGGAGGATCACTTGAGCCCAGGAATTTAAGGTTGCCATGAACCATGATTACACCACTGCTCTTTCATGCCTAGGCAACAAAGTGAAATATTCTCAAAAAAAAAAAAAAGAAAGTAGCCAGGAGGCATGGATGGCTTACACCTGTAATCCTAGTATTCTGGAAAGCAGAGGTGGGTAGAGTCTCTGAGTTCACAGGTTCGAGACCAGACCGAACAAGAGTGCAGTTCTGTCTCTTAAAAAATGCCTGGGCATTGTGGCAGGTGCCTGTAGTCTAGCTACTTGGGAGGCTGAGCAAAAGAATCAGTTGAGCCCAAGAAAGAGGTTGTAAGCTGTGAGCCACAGTACTCTATTGAGGGTGACAAACTGAGACTATGCCTCAAAAAAAAGAAAAAAAGTATAATTTCAGTAAAGTAAATATTTGAATCTTTAGTGAGTTTAGTTATTCATTTTTCTGCACAGAAACTATCTGAGCTTGGCTACTCACCTATTGACTCTCCAAAGGTGATGGTGAGTTCTATTGTGTCATAAACAAAGGTGAATACAGCTTGGTCATCACTCCACTCAATGACATCCCATTCAGACAAGCTGAAGAGATAAATAAGATAAGTATTTTTTTCTTTTGAGATAAAAGAAGAGAGAGAAATTCTGATACCACACAAACAACTACTGATGTTATTCCACTGGATTGGGAGACAATATTTCACTTCAAATATTGTAAATGTACCAACTTAAGATTTTGAAAAAAATAAGAACTCAAAAAAAAAAAAAGAACGCAATCTAGAGTTGTATACTAGAGAAAAATCAAGTGTATATAATGAAAAGTATTAAATATTTAAAAATCATAATTCCATAGCTCTCCTACCCTGTATATTTTTCAGCTTAGTGTTGAGAATATTGAATTTTTGAGGCTGCATTATACTGTATGTTAAAAACAGGAACACATTAAAAACTTATTAACTATTCTAGTTGGTATATTTAGTAGTTCAGAAAACCACAAGGCACAGGATAAAACAGAAACTAATGACACCTGCTTTTACCTACCTCAACTGATCCAGTAGCTCTTCAGTTCTATTTGTTTGTTTTTGCATAAAGTCTATTTGAGTAAGGGTCTGCTCTTTCTGTACCTCTAGTTCTAAGAGTGTTCTGCAAATAAAAGCAGGTATTCACAGAGAGATAAGGTCTTTGTTAGAGAATTCAGACTATTAATCTAAAAAGTTTATGACAATAATTCACATGGTAGATAGCTCCCCACTGAAGTAATAATGTAGGTATATAGTGTCTATTTATGTATTAGTTTTTTTCCTTTTTTCATAAGTATTAATCTAGAAGTGGGTCTACTCACACCTGTAATCCTTGCACTCAGGGAGGCTGAGGTGGGTGGATTGCTTGAACTCACAAGTTCGAGACCAGCATGAGCCTCAGCAAGATCCCATCTCTAAATAATAAACAAATAGCCTGGTATTGTCACGGGCATTTGTAGTCCCAGCCACTAGGGAGGCTAGGGCAAAAAGATAGCTTGACCCCAAGAGTTTGAGGTTGCTGTGAGCTACGACACCTCAGCACTCTACTGAGGGCAACAAAGTGAGATTCTGTCTCAAAAAAAAAGAAAAAGAAAGAAAGAAATGAAAAAAGAAAAAAGAAAAAAAATAGAAGTGGGTCTACTTCGGAAAGGAATAAATCATTGTCTCTTAAATTAGGATCCATGAAGATACTCCTAGGTTCACATGTTAAGATAATTATTAAATATTATATTTTCAGTTAAGAATTTGTTTTTTAATTTTTACAGATAGGGTCTTACTCTATCACCCAGGTTGGGGCAATCACAGCACACTATAGCCTCAAACCCCTGGGCTCCAGTGATTCTTCTGCCTCAACCTTCTGAGTAGCTGGGACCACAGGTGCACGCCACCATACTTAGCTATGATTTTTTTCTTTGTAGAGATGGAGTCTTGCTTATTGTCCAGGCTGGCCTCAAACTCCTGGGCTCAAGTGATCTTCTTGCCTTGGCCTCCAAAAGTATTAGCATTACAGGCATGAACCACCACTCTCAGCCTACTCTCTTTTTGTCTTAAGACAAAGTTAAATAAGATTCATAAGTCTATGAAATATATACCTAATTTTATATTTATTTATTTATTTTTGATACAGAGTCTCACTATGTCACCCTCAGTAGAGTGCTGTGTGGGTCACAGCTCACAGCAACCTCAAACTCTTGGGTTCAAGCAATTCTCTTGCCTCAGCCTCCCAAGTAGCTGGGACTACAGGCACCTGTCACAACATTTGGCTGGTTTTTTGTTGTTGTTGTAGTTGCCATTGTTGTTTGGCAAGCCCACGCTGGGTTTAAACCCTCCAGCCCCAGTGTGTATGGCTGGTACCTTACCCGCTCAGCTACAGGCACCGAGCTTAGGTTTATTTTCTTTAAAAGGATACTGATAGTATTCAAACAATAAGTGCTTCGAAAATACTGTTGACTAGGCTCAGCACCCATAGTTCAGTGGTTAGGGTGCCAGCCATATACACCGAGGCTGGCAGGTACAAACCTGGTCAGGGCCTGCTAAACAACAATGACAATTGCAACAACAAAAAATAGCTGGGCATTGTGGTGGCTGCCTGTAGTCCCAGATACTTGGGAGGCTAAGGCAAGAGAATCGCTTAAGCCTAAGACTTTGAGGTTTCTGTGAGCTGTAATGATGCTACTACACTCTACTGAGGGCGACATAATGAGGCTTTGTCAAAAAAAAGAAAGAAAAGAAAAAAGAAAATATTGTTGACTAATATGGCCTCTAGGAACTAATTTGAAGTGGAGCAGAAACCCTGAGTCAGCCTCAGTTGAGAGTCATGTCCCAAATTTTGTCAGTCTCTGGAGGCAGGAAGTCACACAGTCTTCAGAAGTCTAGCATTATATTTTCTAACAACTGGATTGAAGGCTAACCTTTGAAGTTCTTCTTCTTCAGTTTTCAGCTGTTCTAATTCTTCGAAAAGAAAAAAAAAAAAGCCAGAATGGACACATTACAATGTTGCCACAAAAGTTATCTGTCATACTGAAAATTCTGACTTAATTATCTAATATATAAACAGAAAAGGGCTTTGTCTCCATTTATCTCTTTAACTAATCCAGTTACCTTTCTCTGCAGCTCTTATTGCAGAATCCCATCCTTCCACGGGATTATCTTTCTCTTTATCCTCCACATTCTTAGTTTCTAAAGTAGACAAAAGGCATTAGAAAAACTCAATCAAAAAATTTATTAAGCAATCAGGGATTGTTTTTTTAATACTAGGAAGTTTAGAAATTCCACCAGATGGCTTCTATTTTTTTCTATGAAGTAGAGAGTAAGGTAATGAACAAACAGTCTTAGACTATGGATTTCATATACTCAATTGTTAAATTGATGCAGAAAACATGTACTAGGCACTTATTCTGTGCAAAGCTAGTGCTAAGAACTTAGAAAAAAAATGGAGAAAAATAAAAGCTGATCCTTGCATCCAAGGAGATTATAATTTAAGCAAGAAAATAAACTTACAAAATAACAACAATATGAGTAGATGTGATAAGTATAATATAAGAAGTACTAACAAAATAGTCATCAAAGCTCAAGGAATATACAGACTACTTCCTTTACTTCCTTTGGTAGAAAACAGAAGAATGAATTAGCAAAGACAAAAGTGGCAGAACTGCATAGAAATGGCAAGATAGGCTCAGCACCTGTGGCTCAAGTGGCTAAGGCACCAGTCACATACACCTAAGGTGGCGGGTTTGAATCCAGCCCCGCCCGACAAACAACAATGATGGCTGCAACCAAAAAATAGCCGGGCATTGTGGCGGGTGCCTGTGGTCCCAGCTACTTGGGAGGCAGAGGCAGGAGACTCCCTTGAGCCCAGGAGTTGGAGGTTGCTGTGAGCTGTTATGCCATGGCACTCTACCCAGGGGGACAGCTCGAGGCTCTGTCCCGCCCCCCCAAAAAGAAATGGCAAGATATGGTTGGAATTTAAGGTGTGTAAGGGAGTAGTAGCAAGTCATATAAGAAAGGAAGAACTGAATATATTGTATAGAATGTTAAATGTCAAGCTCATGAGTTTGGACTTTGTTTTGTAATAAATGGAAAGAAAAGGTTTTTTTTTTTTAAGAGACAGAGTCTCACTTTGCCCTCAGTAGACTGCCATGGCGTCACAGCTCACAGCAATCTCCAACTCTTGGGCTTAGGTGATTCTCTTGCCTCAGCCTCCTGAGTAGCTAGGACTACAGGCTCCTGCCACAACACCCAGCTATTTTTTGTTACAGTTTGGCCAGGGGCAGGGTTTGAACAAGCCACCCTCAGTATATGGGGCCAGTGCCCTACTCACTGAGTCACAAGCACCACCTGGAAAGAAAAGTTTGTAAGGGGCTGAGCACCTGTAGCTCAAGTGGCTAAGGTGCTAGCCACATGAACCAGAGCTGGCGGATTCGAATCCAGCCCGGGCCTGCCAAACAATGACAACTATAACCAAAAAATTGCCAGGCGTAGTGGCAGGTGCCAGTAGTCCCAGCTACTTGGGAGGCTGAGGCAAGAGAATCGCTTAAGCCCAGGAGTCTATGAGTTGGAGGTTGCTGTGAGCAGTGACACCACAGCACTCTACCCAGGGTGACAGCTTGAGGCTCTGTCTCAAAAAAAAAGAAAAGTTTTTAAGGGAGTAATATTATGAAAACTGTCCTTCATAATTCTGAATCTGGTAGAAATGTGAAGGTTGGACTGAAAGGACACAGAATGCTGGTATAAATGCAGCGATTAGTTAAAAGACCTAAAATAGCACATTTTGGAAGTAATGAGAGCCATAATGAGCAGGGTAGAAAATACAAGAGATGATGAGGAAGCATATGTATAAGGGCTTGTTAAGAGAGTCAAGGCTCGGCACCTGTGGCTGAAGTGGCTAAGGCGCCAGCCACATACACCTAAGGTGGCAGGTTCGAATCCAGCCCAGGCCTGCCAAACAACAAAGATGGCTGCAACCAAAAAATAGCCAGGCGTTGTGGTGGGCACCTGTGGTTCCAGCTACTTGGGAGGCAGAGGCAGGAGACTCGCTTGAGCCCAGGAGTTAGAGGTTGCTGTGAGCTGTGATGCCACAGCACTCTGCCCAGGGCGACAGCCTGAGACTCTGGCTCTAAAAAAAAAAGAGAGTCAAAGCATGGAAAGTTTTGAGTCTTTTATAACATATCAGAATTGTGAAGCTATTAATAGAGGTGAGAAACATCATAGAGAGAACAAGCTTTTGGATTTGAATTTGAAGATAGGAGAAGATAATAAATTTCATCCTATTTACAGAGTTTAAGGTGCTTAAGAATATTTTGCATAGAGGTTCAACCAGGAATCTAGAAATCTAAGTCTGTAACTCAAGAGAATGAGGCTAAAGATGCCCCTATTCAAGAGATTCTAAGTTACTTAAGGGCAAAATACAAATATCTGACATGCAGTATGTGTTCAACAAATATATGATGAATTTAACTGAATTTGGGAATCAGTCATATAAACATAATTATTAAGGCAGGTGAAAACATTCAGGTGGAGAATATAGGATAGAACTGATGATAAAATCTAAATCCCCCACAAGGTTAGTTAAAGAAGAGGTCAACAGAGGAGCTGAAAGGAAGAACCAGATAAAAGAATAAGGTCAAAGGGGGCAGCGCCTGTGGTTCAAAGGAGTAGGACGTCAGTCCCATATGCCAGAGGTGGTGGGTTCAAACCCACCCCCTGGCCAAAAACTGCAAAAACAAAACAAAACAAAACAAAACTAAGGTCAAGGGGCCAGGTGTGGTGGCTCACGCCTGTAATCCTAGCACTCTGGGAGGCCAAGGTGGGTGGACTGCCTCAGCTCACAGGTTTGAGACGAACCTGAGCAACAGCAAGACCTCATCTCTAAAAAATAGCTGGGTGTTGTGGTGAGTGTCTGTAGTCCCAGCTACTTGTGAGGCTGAGGCAAGATAATCACTTGAGCCTAGGAGTTTGAGGTTGCTGTGAACTATGATGCCATGGCACTCTATCTAGGGTGACCAAGTGAGACTCTGTCTCAAAAAAAAAGAATAGGGTCAAGGTAGTGCAATATCATAGAGATTAAAGGAGATGAAAGAAAAGAACAACGAGCAATGTCAAATGCTGAAAGAGGGGGCAGCGCCTGTGGCTCAAAGGGGTAGGGCACCGGCCCCATATGTCGGAGGTGGCGAGTTCAAACCTAGTCCTGGCCAAAAACTGCAAAAAAAAAATGCTAAAAGAGATCAAGATGGCTAAGTACTGAGAGAAACCAAATTTGGTGATTATGTAGAATTATGTGATCTTTGAGGAAGCAGTTTCAGGGGAATAATACTAACAAGTTGGGATTATGAGTAGTCAAACTGACAATAGTTTCCAAATAAAAATAAATTCATCTACTAAAAAACACAAGATTATCATCTAGCTTCTTTTTTTTTTTTTTTTTTTTTTGAGACAGAGCCTCAATCTGTCCCCTGGGTAGAGTGCCATGGCATCACAGTTCACAGCAACCTCCAACTCCTGGGCTTAAGCGAGTCTCCTGCCTCCACCTCCCAAGTAGCTGGGACCACAGGCGCCTGCCACAATGCCTGTCTATTTTTTTGGTTGCAGCCATGATTGTTGTTTGGAGGCCTGGGCTGGATTCGAACCCGCCACCTTAGGTGTATGTGGCTGGCCCTTAGCCACTTGAGCCATAGGCTCCGAGCCTTTTTTTTTTTGAGACAGAGTCTCACTTTGTCACCCTCAGTAGAGTGCTGTGCCATCACAGCTCACAGCCTCACAGCAACCTCAAACGCTTGGGCTTATGAAATTCTCTTGCCTCAGCCTCCCAAGTAGTTGGGACTACAGGCGCCTGGCACAATTCTTGACTATTTTTGGAGATGAAGTCTCACTCTGGCTCAGGCAATCTACTTGCCTCGGTCTCCCAGAGTGCTAGGATTACAGGTGTGAGCCATGGTGCCGGGCCATGGTCTAGGTTCTTTGACATTTGTTGATTACATTATAGATGATACAGTAAAGAGGCTTTCTAATTTAATTTCTAAAAGCTGCTAATAGAAGTCTTCAACATAGTGATACCAACAATCTCTACTGTAGGAATGTATATAGATAAAATTAAATTTCTTTTGGAGAAGTATTTAAAATACTTTACCTTTTTCCACCTCAGTGAGACAGTTATTGATCTTCTTAAGTATGCTGTCCATCTCATCTATCCTTATTTGAAGATTCTCCCTTTCATTCTAAACACAAAATATTATAGACTGTCAAGTTAAATGTCTAAGTATTATAAATGGTTCAAATTCCTGACACAAGATTGCTATATCTTGATCATGAATGGGCAAATGTTAAAAACAAATGTCGTAACTTCAAGTCTGAACTTAAAAATAAACTTCATTAAGTAAATTTGTTTTATAAATTTATATAAAATACAATAATTTTAAAAGCAGATTAAGGCTGGGTGCAGTGGCTCATGCATGTAATCTTAGTGCTTTTGGAAGCCAAGGAGGGAGGGCTTCTTGAGCCCAGGAGCTTAAGAGCAGCCTGAGCAAGAGTGAGACCCCATCTCTACAAAAAGTAGAAAAATTAACAGGGAATAATGGCACATGCATGTATTCCCAGCTGCTTGAGAGTCTGAGGCAGGAGGATCACTCTAGCATAGGAGTTTGAGGTTGAGCAGTGAGCTATGTAATGCCACTGCACTCGCACTCTAGCCCTGAGAGACAGAGAGAGACCATATCTCAAAAAAAAAAAAAAAAAGAAAGAAAAGAAAAGAAAAGAAAGGAAAAGAAAAGAAAAGAGAAAAGCAGATTAATATAAATTCTTTTTTTTTGAAATAGTCTCACTTTGTTGCCCTGGGTAGACTGCTATTGCATCATCACAGCTCATAGCAACCTCAATCTCTTGGGCTCAGGCAATCTTCTTGTCTCATTCTTTATTTATTTATTTTGAGATAGTCTCATTTTGTTGCCCTTGATATAGTGCCAGGGCATCACAGTTCACAGCAACCTCAAACTTTTGGGCTCGAGTCATTTTCTTGTCTCAGCTTCTCAAGTAGCTGGACTATAGGTACTTCCCACAATGCTTGGCTATTTTTAGAGATAGGGTCTTGCTCTTGCTCAGGCTGGTCTCAAACCATGAGCTCAGGCAATCCACCTACGTTGGCCTCCCAGAATGCTAGGATTACAGGTGCGTGCCACTGCGCCCAGCCTAATAGTCATTACTTTTTTTTCCGCTCTTGGCAGAGTGCTGTGGCATCACAGCTCATAGCAACCTCCAGCTCCTGGGCTCTAGGCGATTCTCTTGCCTCAGCCTCCCGAGTAGCGGGGACTATAGGCACTCGCCACAACACCGAGACATTTGTTTGTTGCAGTTTGGCAGGAACCCGCCACCCTCGGTATATGTGGCCAGCGCCCCACCCACTGAGCCACAGGTGCTGCCCTTATTACTTTTAAAATTAGTTCTCGGGGGAAGAGGAGAGGAGGAGGATTGGTGTGCTCCCACTTAATGAGCACACTGTAAGACTATACGGCACACCTCTTCAGTGCAGGACACAACTATAAGCACAACTCTACCTAATAAATACAAACATTATAACCTAGTTGTTTGTACCCTCCCATTCACCTGAAATTTAAAAAAATAGTAATGACAAAATAGAAACAATTTATATAAAAAATTAGTTCTTAAAAATTGTTCTACGATGAAATAAATATGGGAATTTGGTTAAATAGAACATTTTTAAGACTTTAGAGGCTCAGCGCCTGTGGCTCAAGTGGCTAAGGTGCCAGCCATATACACCTAAGGTGGCGGGTTCAAATCCCCAGCCTGGGCCCACCAAACAACGATGGCTGCAACCAAAAAAATGGCCGGGCATTGTGGCGGGCGCCTGTAGTCCCAGCTACTTGGGAGGCTGAGGTAGGAGACTCGCTTGAGCCCAGGAGTTGGAGGTTGCTGTGAGCTGTGATGCCATGGCACTCTACCCAGGGGGATAGCTTGAGGCTCTGTCTCAAAAAAAAAAAAAGACTTTAGAAAGACCTATATTTCTCCAAGAGAAGAAATTACATGCACCATTTCCCATATCTATTTGCCAATGTAAAATCTTTGTATGTAGAGCCTTTTTAAATTGATGATCATTTTCAAAAACATTATTTTAAACACATGCACGCGCATATACAACTACTCTTAAACCTATGCACACATATATACAACTCCATGTTAAGAGCGGGTGGGAGGTTGGGGGGTGGGGTATCCAGCCTTATATTTTTGTTAGCAGGCCTGAGCCAGGTCTGAACCTGCCAGCCACAGTGCATGGGGCCAATGCTCTAACCATTGAGCACAGGCACCCAGCCTCCTACCCTTTTTTTCCTGTGGTACACTAGAAGAGTTGTCTTGGGCCACACATTAAATAAACAAACACTAACAAACAATTTTCTGACACCATAGAAAATTTCTGACACCACAGTTCAGCAAAACAGATGTTAAAAAACTTGCAGGCAGCCTATGGGCTGCAGATTGGACATCCCAGGACTATAAGGAAGATAATATTATGGTATGGTCCTTTCCAATGGGAGATTAGAATTCTATATATATTATATATATACATATATATATTTATATTATATATTCTATTCTATATCTATATATTTTATTTCAATATGTATAATGGATGGCAATATTTAAAATGAGACATATGTCCACATTATTAACTCTATTCAAGTATTACTCAAGATGCCAGGATTTGCCACTTTTGACAAATTGAATATCACCTCCTGTACCCAAGTGTTAAGTTTTTGTGTGAGTCTCATTTGGATTTCTAATGTACATTCTTCATATTTTACAACCATTATAAAGTAATTTTAATATCTCTTTCTATGATGTTAACTCTCTCAAATTACCTGAGCTGACTGCACCAGCTTGCCATACAGAGATACTTTTCCTTGGTGAGTGAAGACTTTAGTCATCTTGGTAAAACGTGACTTTATTTTATTAAGGTAAATTCCAAAGGCCTTCAGCTGTATGGAAGAGTTAAAGAGTACACTGCATTAAAACAAACAAGTCAGAAAAGGTAAATGATCTGGAAAGGCTGGTTCAAGGTAGGCTTTGCCCATCCTAGATTTTGATTCCTAAGGCAGGATACTTCTCATTAAGAACAGAACCAGGCTCGGCGCCTATAGCTCAACCGGCTAAGGCGCCAGCCACGTACACCTAAGGTGGCGGGTTCGAATCCCCAGCCCG